AAAATGATTCCATTCATTCAGTACACTGAATAAATACAACACAGGGTGTGCTTAGCAGACTCCAATAGTGTATAGTGTATAATGCATTGATGGTTTTGCAACGTAGCTCAACTAATTCATTGGACAATGAATATGCATATTTATAAACAAATTTATGCGTATATTTTTGACCAACTTTATGTTGAGTTTTGCCACTAATTTGAGCATATTTAGTAGCTAAAAAAACAGAATGTGTATTGTTATTAAAACACGCACCAAAGCGTGACTTTTTGGACTGGCACAGGGGCACTCAATAAAGCAGCAATGAGTAATTATGAAAGATCAGCCAATGATTAGAACTATAGAGTGACGATTGCCTAGGAAAATACTAAATAGACATTTAATGAACGAACACAATGGAATACTTCGAACACAAAACAAATTTGTTGATTTAATTGAGTAATAATGGAGAATATTTGTATATATAATGCAAAAATATCAAACAGGGCTAAGAGTGGTTCTTAAAACAGGGTGTTTCATAGTTAGGACTTAGATAATAACTTTCATAGTTAAATTTGTCTAAGTTCACACTGTGAGGCCAACAGGGTGCTTCATCTAAAAAACTCATTGAAACGAGCACAGGGTGCTTCATAGATAGACCCCCAAATGTGTACTTTAAATAACCACGGGATGTTTCATATTGATTAATCAAATCGCATTATTAATTAAATTGGACGCAGCGTGATTTAAAGTTAAAAAATGAGATGAAATGCATCATCATCTTAGTTAAAACTTATCATTACTCATTGCATTAAGCCCACAAAGCTTCATATTTAAATTCTCCCAAATGTGCTTTAAAACTAACTACAGGGTGCTTCATAATAATTCTCATTATACATTGAATTGAGCAAAGGAAGCTTCATAGTTAAAAACTTTCCACAGGGTACCATGGAATAGTGAAATATTCCATAAAATCAGGGTGCTTATAATTAAAAATTAATCATTCAATGAGCCACAGGGTGTATCATCTTAGTCAACAACTTTTCATTAGTCATAAAAGTTCCCAAATGTATTTTAAATGGATTACAGGGTGCTTCATGCTTTTCATTACTCATTGAAAAAACAGCGTGATTCATATAGAAAGACACAATTTTAACTTAATCCCCAATGTTTCATCTCAATTAACAACTTCTCATTAGTCATTAAGTCCCAGTTAATAACTTCTCATTAGTCATTTGATTAAGCGCAGGGTGTTTCATGTTTAAAGACGTCCGATTACACATTAAATATGCCACAGGTTGTCTCATCTTATTTAACTTCTCATTGAGCACAGGGTGCTCCATGTAAAAGTCACAATTACTCATTAAATTAAGCGCAGGGTGCTTCATGTTTAAAGACGTCCGATTACACATTGAATCTTGTTTAACTTCTTTCTGGTAAGTTAATTGAGCACAGGGCGTTTTAAAGTTAAAGACAGCAAATTTGACATTTATTGACCACAGGGCATTTCATATTCGTTAACTTATTAAATAGATCGCAGTACAATGGACCACAGGGTGTTCCCTCGTGGAACATTTAATCTTGCTCGTTTCACATTATGAAAAACCACAGGGCATTTCGTCTTCGTTAACTAATTCTTATTACGCATTAAATAGAACGCAGTTCAAGAACACTTGAATGGCCCACAGGGTGTTTCCTCGTGGAACATTTAATCTTCTTCGTTACTCTTTAAGAAAAACCACAGGGCATTTCATCTTCGTTAACTAATTCTTATTACGCATTAAATAGAGCGCAGTTCAAGAACACTTGAATGGCCCACAGGGTGTTCCCTCGTGGAACATTTAATCTTGCTCGTTTCACTTACCCCTCTTAAAGAATCCAAACCTGGCGCTGTAGCGCACATTATCGAATTGAATATCAATTTTTTTGATCGTTTTGTACTGCTCGTGGGGAAATATGGAGCCGGCCGTGCTGCTGGAGCTGTGGCTGCCGGAGCTGGTGTTCTGGCTGCTGGCAAAGCTCTCCGGCGTCAGCGAGGCGGCGGGCGCGGCAGAGCCGAGGGGTGTGCCATAAATGGATGAGCTGGCCGAGAGCGCAATATTCTCCGGCTCCGCGAGCGGCGCATCGTGATCATGTGTTGTTCCTGTTGTTGTTGTTGTTGTTCCTGTTCCTGTTGTTTTTGTTGTTGTTGGAGGTTGGATGTTCAATGTCAGATGTGGCGGCCGCTTTGTGTTCAGCTTCTTGCCGGGCACTGGCGTGGTTGGACGTGCCTTGTGCTGTGGATAATCAGTCGTTGTTGTCCTGTCTATGTCGGAGGTGGAGGCGCAGGCTTTGAGATTGTTAAGCCTGATGACGTCACCGGCGACGCCCGACACCGTGGGCGAAACGGCGCTGGCCAAGCTCCAGCTGGACATTTTGTTGTTTTCGTTGTTGTTTGTTAAAAACTTTGACGTTTGTTGCGGCCGCTTTGGTCATCAAATTACAATTACTTGTTACTTTTAATAATACTTGTTTTTGTTTTGTTTTGTTTTTTACGGACCTCTCTCGAAATTTGTTTAAATTTATTCTAATTCCCTTTGCACTCAACACTTTGCTCTGTCCGCTGTCTCACTCGCTCTTGAGGGCGCGGCATGAAACAGAAACAAAAATTTGCATAAATAATTTTGTAGGCTCGAAAAAATAAAATGCTTATAAAAAACCGAAATGTTTGCTACACGCGTCGATGAGTTCGCTGTGTTTATTTGTTTTTGGTTTTCGCATACATATACAGGAAAACGAAATGAGCGGCGCGCTCTTAAAAGCATTTTCTGTGTGTGTGTGTGTGTGTGTGTGTGTGGGTGTGCGAGTTCATTAGCTTTTTAACTGACAAACTGATAGCGGGAGGGGAGCAGGGGAGGGGCTGCCAGTGCACTGTTGCTAATCAGAACTTGCCCCAAAACAAGTAGGCAGAAAATAGCTCAAAGAGAGCAAAAGCGGCTTGTTGTTGTTATTCTGCTTTTCGATTTCTTTTGCAATGACAGCTGCTGCTGTGCTTTGTCCTACACGTGTTGCTCCTTAGGCTGCGCTCTTGCTAACGGAACAGGGCTTGCTCTTATTTTGAAGTGCTCTTAACTGACTCGGATCCTGTGTAATTGCGCTATGCAACACGTAAAAAGTCTAACTAGTGCATATGCGACGCGCGCCCGCTCGCCCGCTCTCTCTCACTCTCTCTCTCTCTGTCGCGCTCTTTATAAACAAAACACACTCAAAGCTCAAATGCACTTGAGGCAGGCAAATGAATATTTATTTATATGTGTGCGTACATGCATGCATATGTACATATATTTGAATTATAAGTATTCTTTTTTTTGCGCGTCTTCTGCCTTTGTTTTGCCTATCTTAACAGTGGCACACATTAATATATAGTTTTTATTAGTAAGTGTTTTCTGTCTTACGTTTAATTGCTGTTAATTGTTGAATCTTTTACTTTAACTTTTACTTGGTTACGCTTTGCACACACTTTTCTTCTCGTTCTCTTCGCACTGTTAAGCGCCAAAAGCCAGCCGATTACCACATGCGTATCTATTTATCTACGCGCGTGTGTGTGTGTGTGTGGATCTATCTTCCTGTTTTTTTTTCGGCCTATTTCATATATGTCATTTGCTAGTCTCGATTTCAATTGGCCACGCTACCACACACACACGCGCACACGCACACAGACACAAATGCTAGTTCTTATTAGAACATCAACGTAACATTGTGCCAAATGTGAACGTGTTGCTTGGCCTCTTTTGCGGCTTATCGCGATTCTTAAAAGTGTCGCACTAAACCTCAATGTAAGCCACAAATATTGTTTTTCGATTGATTGGTCAAAAGTTACTGATTAGAACCGATAGATATTTTGTTGTTGTTGTTGTAATACAATCTGCGCTGATATGACACAATACACACACACACACACACACGCACTCAGAAAAACCCGACACACAAATTACATTTTGAATACATAATTATTGTAATGTGCTATTTACTCGAATTTCAGCGGTTCACATTTATTAATCGCCTTTTGTATATTTGTTATATTTTTATATCTATATGCGACAGCGTCCAGTCAACGACGTACGATCCTCAGCGACCGTTAACATGGCACAGACTGTTTTCATATATGAAAAACTCAAAATTATATTCTGCTTGTTGCCCATTATCTCGCCCGTTCACGCTCGCTCCGACTCTCACTGCTTGGCTCTCTCTCTCTCCCACTCTCTTGTTTTGCAGTGGCGCGCTGAGTCTGCTTATCGGTCGTGTGCGACCCCTTGCAGTGAGCAACTGACAACGCCGCTGCCTTTATTGATGTTCGCTTCATCGTGCGCTGCCGTTGCAGGGGGTGTGTTTTTCTTCTTGCATGTTGTTGTTGCTTCTTTTTATGCGACACATTTTGTTTTTTTTTTTTTCAATTCAGGGTTTGTACAGATTCTTTTGTGGTAGGCCCACATTGCACTCTGCTCCTTTGTCTCAGCCCCAGCAGCAGCAGCAGCAGCAGCAGCAGCAAAACAAAGCACTTAAAACCAGTCTGACCAGTTATGAGTCTAAGAGAGAGAGAGAGTGAGAGAGTGAGTGAGACAGAGCTCATCGTTAATCGCCTGACTGCAATGCAAACATAAATATTATCAGCTGTTTCTCAACGAAAAACAATCAATGTAATATTGTTGATATTTTTCATTGACAACTTAATTGAATATTGCATTTGTGTACATAAAAATACTGGTATTTGAAAAGTGCAAGTTCATTTTCTTAAAATTAAATAGCTTGTGATTAAAATATTTAAATATTTGGCGCCCAGTTTATATTTACATCGAATCTGGTTGCCTATCGAAATATTGTTGCTATGTGCACAGACGGTCACACTGCTCTATTGATTTAACAGTTCTGACAGCTCTGTTAAGCTCACAGTTAATACTGAGCATCGTAAACGACAAGAAGTGTGATATAAATAAAAAATTGCTAATATGCAAGTATTGAATTTATTAAACTAAAAATTCAAAAGTGAAAATGTGCTTAATAGTTGTAAAAGTTTCGTAGAGTTATTTTTGTGCAATTAAATTCAAAATCTGCATCAGACGGAAAAAACATCGATTAAAATATCGATAGACTACAATCGCGCTACAGCTGTGCCCTGTGAAAACTTTGCTAAAAGTTGTTCTATCGAGCCGCAGCCGCCGACGCAAATAGAAGCAGGAAAACGGGCAGAAAGAAAGGAAGAAGCTAAAACTTTTGTATTTTTTTAAACCATACAAACGAAAGCCCAATATGACTGATATGCGCAACGAGATGGACAGCGATCTGGATCAGAATTACTCGCTGAACAGCAATGCGGATCCCAAGAATATGCAGGAGCTGACAATCTATGTGAGTAAAGCAAAAGCCACGACTAAATAGCAGTAAATACAACAACACGCCGCCGCACCCCGCCGTCCACCCACCCACTCTCCATCTCTGCGTGCATGTGCGTGTGTGTGTGTTGTGTTATCTATTAGGTACAAAATCTCTTGCAGAACGTACAGGATAAATTCCAGACGATGTCGGATCAAATCATCACACGCATCGATGATATGGGCAATCGCATCGATGATCTGGAGAAGAGCATTGCGGATCTGATGAATCAGGCGGGCGTCGAGGGAACGGCCCCAGAGAAATAATAAGTGCCAGTGCCACGCCCATAAGCAAGGCACATATCGCATTCAAAAAGCATATACATCGAACATACATACGCACGCACGCACACACACTCACACACACACACTCACACACACACACATTTGTAACAATTCCAGCATTCACATACCATGCACCACATGCAATTGCTCTCAAACTGTAAAACACAAAAATCAAACCAAATTTTGCTCATTTCGTTTTTTTGCATAGTTTTAAGTTGTCAAAATTAAGTTAAGTACATTTTTGAGGCAAGGCAGCAATATCGCAATATTGCCTTACAGTTTTAATTACAATTAAAAATCAAGAATTGTACACACACAAAACCTCAATTCATGTCAAACTGTTAGTATTAAGCACGCTTCGATTCAACAACGGTCACCAGGCGACGTCCTCCGCCGGCTGCCACCTCAGTTGCTATCCCCGCGCCGCGCTCCGAGCGCGGCTTCCTGAACGCCGCCTGCAACGAGAGGGTGTTTGATAAGGGGGGCGATAGCAATGGGGGGGGGGGGGGGGGGGGGGGGGGGGGGGGGGGGGGGGGGGGGGGGGGGGGGGGGATTCACCTGATTAGTTATGCATTCATCAATTGTGATACCCTTGCAGAGGGTAATTTGAATTTTGTGTGGAAGATGTCTTCAGAATTTAAAACTATAATCTCAATCGATTTTAAGACTAACTTATTGTAACTGGGAATATGTTTTTGCTCGGAATCGTATAACTATATCATATAGTTGTTATCGGAAGTATTGCTCGAAATAGGTATAGATATTTCATGCTGGTCTGCCTAGCTTATAAAAAGAATATCATCAATATCGAATCGCTTAAGCATAAAGCTATACTTAGAAACAGTCGTAAATTTGGATTTTTATAGGAAAAACTTTATATAGGAATAACTCTATATCTTGTCCAATATTGGCTTTAAAGCAACATCTTAGCTCTGCTGGAAAGCAACGGAAAAGCTGTTTGTTTGTCAAGATTTTGCCAAAATGCGCCTTTCTATGCGCTTCTCACTCCATCAGAATCTTTACCACATCCAAGCACTATATTATATAGGAACAACTGGCATTGAATTTACATTTTATATGGAAATATTTGTCGCCCAGAAAAGGTCTGCAAGGGTATTTGGACTTCGGCTGCCCGAAGCTGCTTCGATTCTTGTTTATTTGGGATAAATAATGTGGCGTGTGTTTGTGGGCAAGCGCGGGCGTGCTATGCAAATGAGTGCTAAGTAGTTTCCTAGTTTTGGGGCACATGGAATTGCTTTTGCAATCTTACGTGCGTGGCTGCCACGGCCTTAAACGGATGCTTGACGGTCTGGCGCGCTGGCTTGCTGGCCGAGTCCTTGCCGCGCGTCTTCACGCCAAACACATTCTCGAGCGGCGTTGAGGGCGCTTCCTGATCCAGTTCATCGTCTGAGGCGCTGCCTGAGGCCTCTTCCTGCGCCTCCTCCTCGGCGCTTTGTTCGCTCTCCTGTTTCGATTACAATGATTATCAGATATATGCTCTGCTGTGCCTAAAGCTTACCACCTGCTCGTCCTCCTCCTCGTCATCTTCCTCGTCGAGCTCGCTCTCATCGTCGTCGTCCTCCTCCTCCTCCTCGCTCGGTTCGGCCTTGCTGGAACGGCTTATGCCGGCGCCAGTTAAATTCTTGCTGCTTCTGGATAGCTTATGCTGACGCTTGAGCGGACTCAAGTGCTCACGCTCCAGACTGTCCATAGACTGGGCGCGCAGACCCTTCTTCAGCGTCGACTTGCGTGCGGTGGGCTCCTCTTTGGTTTTCATCAGTTTCTGAAATTGCAGAAAATCGTCGCGCTCGTCGATGTTGCACACATCATAGTAGCTGGCGCTGAGCACCTCCAGGGCCTTGGTGTGCTGCTTCATGGCAATCAGTATAAAGTCGCTGAGCACCTGCTTCAGATCCCGCAGCTTGCGCTGCTCAAAGCTGCTGATGATCTCGTCGATCTCCTTGTTGGCGCGCTGCACCTCCATTTTGGTTTTGAACAGCTCCGAGTCGGCGGCGCTCTGCTCGGAGGAGATCTTTTGTTTTAGCAAGCGATCGCTTTACTTTCTGATCAACTCACATTGTTGGCCGCAAACTTGGACTTGAGCTCCAGCATTTGGCGCTGGCTGAGCACCTCCTTGTCCCGGGCTATGACAGCCAGACGCAGGCTGTCCCTCGTCGATTTGCACAGCTGCTCGAAGTGGGCCAGCTCGTTGACAATCTAAAGGTAAAACAAATTAGACTGTGTGTGCATTGCCTTTCGCCAGGCACTGTCACCTTCAGCTCCAGCCTGTGCACATTGATGTCCATGTAGTCTCCCGTTATGGTCAGCGCATTGGTGAAGCTCTTCAGGCCGTTGCAGAGGCTCTCGTTGATTTCCTCGTCATCGGCATAGTTTTTAACATTCTTGGCCAGCTCATCGTGTGCATCGCGGTATCTGTAATGGGCTTAAAACTTTAGGCAACTTGTTAACTCAATAATTTTCTGGCTAACTTGGCCATTTTCCGTGTGAGCAGGGAAAATGCTGAGCACATTTCCATCAAATGGCGTTCGGTGAGATTAATGCGTTCGTTGATTATCTTGATGCGATCATCTTTGCTGCTCAGAAAGGAGAACTTGCCGCGGCGAAACATTTTAATGCCAAATTCAAAGTGTGCCCTTTTCTTTTTATAAACACAAAATCAAAACAAAACTGTTGCCAGGACAACGCAGGGTTGCTTTATGCGGCGTATACATATATATCGGTAACTCTGTTAAGCATAACATGTTGCCAAAACAGATTTTCCAAAAGTTCCTTTAATTCATAATTTGTATTTAATTTGAGAAAACTGCGACAGCTGCCAATTAATTTTTCAAAGTTTTGCGGCAATGGTTTTTGAATATCGATACTTTACTTAACTGCAATCGATAGTGCTTTAAAGCAATAGTATCGCCTGCAGCCGGCTGTAATTTTCCCTAGTATACGTCAGATGGCGCCAACATCAAGCATGGTCTATACCGCGTCGCGATTACAACGTCTTAAGTCAAATACATTTCAATTTTCGTGTTTTTTTTTTAAAAGATTCGTTCAAAATGTAACCCCAATGTGAACAGTGTCAGGGTCAAGAGCATGTGGCGCCCATAGCTCATGTGTACGTGGGCGTAGACAGCAGTCAGCTATGGAAACGCTGCTATATTTAAACGCAAGATCCGTGACAAAAATAAAGAGTGATATGTATATTGAATGGGAGAAAGAGAGAAAGCAAGCAACTGTAATTAAATCAATATGATTCAATTCTGATCAGTTCGTCCTGACCTTGATGCCAGTTTCTTTGGAATTTAAGTGTTTCTGCAACCGCAAGAATGTTGTTGTAAAAATTCCCAGCCAAAAAAGACAAAGCAAAACCCAAAAAAAAACCGTAATTTGAAATGCTTTTCGGACTTAAGGCAATGCACGCGTGAACCGGTACAAAATAAAGCACAGTAAAATGTGCAGTTAAATGCGAATCCGGTTGGGCAGAGAAGGCAAAACACACTCACATGCATACACACGTATATACGTATACATACATACACACATGCATACTCGTGTGTATGACGAGAATAAAATGTGAAGAGTCCGCGATTGTGATCCCAATCAGGGCGACAGAAGACAACAATAAAAACAGATGGACTGTGCTCAGTTCGATGGAGTTGGTCTTTTGTTGTACCCTATGTTATGCATAGAAGGGGCATGATGTTTAAACGAATATATGCACGTCTTGGCATGTCCAGGTAAGTGTTTATTTATTTTTAAGCATAATTTTGAAATTAATATTAAGTTTTATAAACAACAACTTTTACTTTGAAAAAGTTCAAAGTGTTCCGTATTTATATACATATACTTGCCTTAGGGTGTCTGCTAGTCGAACATCTGCAGTTGCCCACACGTTGCTTTTTCTAGCTTCTCATTGACACACAGATAACGTTGCTTGGCGCGCGTTCCTCGTCGTCGCTGACGATTGGCTATACATTTTTAATGAAAACAATTTTTTTTTTAATGAAAAATTGTAAATTCAAACTGAAAAACGGGCTACGTTCTGTGCCCCCCCCCCCCCCCCCCCCCCCCCCCCCCCCGCCGCTCGCTCTGCGCTGTTCCTGGCGCTCTTGCTGTCCCACTCTCTCGTTGCGTATTTTTTGTGTGTTGGGTCAGCTGCGTGCCTTGGTATAAATGAAGCCAAATTTGTGCGCAACGTTTAGTCCGAAATTTCATACAAAAGTCAACAGACGCGAGACCCCTGCGATCGCGCGTACAAGAGAAACAACAAAATAACCGTAAATAAATTTGCGAATATATGTGGTTACATACATACATACATACACGTACATATGTATGTGCCCACTTGTTTAGCATGCCCGTGTTATTTCCGTTTGATGTTTATAAACAAAACAAAAAAAGTTTGTTAAAAGAAATTAAATACAAAAAAAGTGAAATTGAAATGTGTGCAAAATCTGAAATGCGTTAATAAAAATTGTTTATACAATCATAAAGGTCAAATGCGCGTGCGAGCCATAAACATAAATTGTGCTTTATTTTTGCCAAGAAATTTACTTTTATTTAGAATCACAAATTGAAACAAATTATAATTTTGTTAATGCCTTGAAAAAAACCTTTCCTAAAAATGGTTTTTGTTTTGAGCAAGATAATTAGATAATTGTTTTGTAACTGGGCTGCTGAAATGCATTAAAATTAATCGTGATTTTTAATATGCGCTTAATCTAATCGTGTCGAGCGTTGAATAACAAATTAACCAGAATAACTCAATCATAACCAAATTAATTATATGCCTGCCGTCAAGATGTTAAGCCACATGCGGCTCTCTTTAACATTTCTTGGCAATGTAACAGGAACTAAGTGCACATAAATGTTATCGATAACATCTGCTCGATAACTCAATTGAGCGAGTGGTGAGTGCGAAGAAGAAGCAACAACAACTTTAGACTGTTTATAGAGTCACAACTTTGACCTTGAACCCGGCAACAACTTTGACCTTGTCAACCGGCTGATTGACATCATTTCTCTGGGACTAACACTGAAAAGCAAGGCAAAAATAAACAAAAACTAAATAAAATATAATAAAATAGCGTATTAAACGTGCAGCTAACGAAGCATAAACGACAATTGATTAAGCCGCAAATAAGCTTTGCAAAAAAGGGGCACATGCAACAAATAAATACTAGAAACAAAAATATACATACAAATGCAATTCCATACAACAGCAAAAATTGCGCATTCGCCGCGTTTGCCGCCGTTCATTACCGTACACTGATGGCCAAATAAACATGTCCAGCTGTCAAAGCAATTACTAATTGGTTTTACTTTCATAATTGGCCTGTCTATTTCTGTGATTTCCAGTAAAGTGGCATTGCGCAAGACTTGAGATTTGAAAGATTATATGAAGCTATAAATTTAGAAAGAATTGTTGCTTTCAGAGCGAAAGCTTAGCTGTATACAATGTTTTCAAATAAATTTCTATCTTCAATACCTTTTTCGTGTTGCAAGATAAGTAAGCGCTCAATATGCAATATCGCTAATCTATCGCCTTCTTATCTTCCGCCATATTTACTGTTTGCAGGGTATCGTATAGTCTCTATGACCCTCTATCTTAAATGTACTCGTTCTCCCACAAGATCACAATCAATCAATATGCAATATCGCCCATCTATCACCTTCTTATCTTCCTCTCTAACTGTTGACTGAATGCCTAAGCGACACTTTCGGCAGCATCCAATATCTTTTTCGTGTTGCAAGATAAAAAGACGATCAATATGCAATATCGCCCATCTATCGCCTATTTATCTTCCGCTATAAATATTGTTTGCAGGGCATGTCATAGTCTCTATGACCTTTATCTTAATTGTAATCGTAGTTCCACAAGATCACAATCGATCAATATGCAATATCGCCTATCTATCGCCTTCTTATCTTCCTCTCTAACTTTTGATTGAATGCCCAAGCGACACTTTTCTACAGCTTTCAAGCCATTTATCGTGTTGGAAGATAAAAAGACGATCAAAATGCAATATCGCCCATCTATCGCCTATTTATCTTCCGCCATATTTACTGTTTGCAGGGCATGTTATAGTCTCTATGACCCTCTATCTTAATTGTACTCGTAATCCCACTTGTTTTTAGCTGTGGATTTATTTTAGTGACTTTTTCGCTGTCATTTATTTATATTAATAACACGCTCAACTAATTGAGTGTGAGTGCATGCTACGAGTGCGAGCGTGAGTGTGAGTGTGAGTGAGAGTCTCTCGCAGTCTCCAACATTCTCACCTATCTGTAACGCTCAAACTGTTGCTCATTTTACTCAGTGATTTGTGTCGCTTTTACGTTCCGAACGTTCTGTTTATTTGCCGTTTCCTCAACGCATTTCAGCGCATTTGACTATTGTTTGTCTTACGAAACAGAACCGAATCCGGCAACCGGTGCCAGAACAAAAAACAAAAAAAAAAAAATACCTAAACAAATCACAACAGAATTTAACAAAAGTGCTTAGCATCAACAAAAAAACCAACAATTTGTTAAACTCAAATAAAAAAAAAAACCAAAAGGCAAAGCAGAAAAATATCGTGCGAAAATAAATATGAAGCTGCTGTGCGGTGTTCTGCTGATCGCGTTGGCTGTCAGCGACGTTTGGACTTTGCCAGGTGAGTTCTAGACTAACTCGAGAACCCTATAAAATAAATACTAAAAAATATATATATATATATAGTATATTGGCTGGGCAAAAGCAAGCTTGGGCGGCCTTAAGCAGGCGATCCGACAAATATGTGTATTATATAAAAATAAAAAAGATTTCCCCACACCGTGATGATCATTAAAATGTTCAAATTGATAATGCTGTTGGCGGCCTCTTGAACTGTCGTTTGTATAAACAATGCAAATTGATAAAGCTGAGCTACACTTGACAAAAAAACGACCTCGAAAGTTCTAGAATGAAAGGCTCAGTGCATCAATCTTAACATTTCTTGACGTTCTTGTATAGTTTGGAAAAAACATGTTGGAACTTAACTTGATTTTCAAATAGTTTTTTTGATCTTTAAAAAAAAAAAGGAAAAGAGCTCTATTTAAATTAAAAAAAATATCCATAACAAGGCATTTGTAGGCGTTGGGCATTTATTGTAAAATAAAAATTGTTTAGAGAGGAACATTTCGACATTTATCAAGGGTAAAAAAAAATTGCTTAGCGAGCAGAATTTCGGGTTTGGGAAATTTGTGGCAAAAACTCTTTGAAGAAAACCATTTTAGCTTGAGAAACGAACGAACTTGTTTGAATTTTAAACTCTAGCTAATTTGCGTAGAATATTTAACTTTGTTAATTTCGAGCAAATAAAACTGTACGAATAAGAATTTGCGCCAAGTGTTGGAATTTTCTAGGAATTACGGCATAATGATGCTCGATTTTGATAAGAACGTTGCAGGCAACACTTGACAATCAGCAAAACTGCAAAATGCATCCTGCAGATACCAGATACAAGATACAAGATACAAAATAGAAGATACAAGCCAGCAGCAGACGCAGCTGCCTCATCATCGTCATGGCTGCCACTTGAATGCATAAATTGCAGCAGCTAAAGTTGAAGAAGCTGAATTGCTTGCAGACAGACA